CATCCAGCTAATTATAAGGGCTGCACTTGCAATCTTACCATTGCACTGAAAAAGAATATTCAAAATACTACAGTGCTGAAACTAAAGGTTTTACCTTATTTGTGCTCTCATCAAAATCTCTTTTGCTTATGCAGCACACACTCTCCTAGGTAAGCCAAGTCAGGGCATTCTATTTTACGTAGAAAATGTGAAATTCCGCAACATCTTCATGATTTTGATTTGCTGCTTATTCAAGAAACATTTCTAAAATCTTCAATAAGCTGTACAATACCGGATTATTCAACATATGTTAGGTTGGAGTGGCGGCCTTGTTTACCAAGATAGTCCACTTGAGCACAAATAATGGCCCGTTGTAGCAAATTCAACATATAGAAGTGATAGATTGCATTGAAAAGGTAGTGGAACAGTAGTTGTAATAAAAAAAAGACTTTCAACACTACTCTATAATCAATAATACAAGTTCACTTGAATCTGTATCAATTGTTATAGGGACTTCTATATGGTAATATAAAACTTCAACTTTCGTCGGCATATAGACCACCCGTATAAGAAACTTTCTGGCTTAAAATTGAATCAGTTTTCTATTGATAATAACATTCAATTGCAATTGCTGAAGAATCAACTCATTATGGAAATAATGGTTTGGTTCATACATTGGACATTAATATTTTCAAGAATATAGATTTCGACTTACATCTTTCTGTTTTGCATACGGTCTCCTCTGATCACTTATCAAGTTTCTTAACGATTGAAGAAGGATTCATATTACCAATAAATTGATACCAATTTAAAGAACTTCTAATTGGCAAAACATTGCATGGAAGCTTAAATAATATTATTGATTTAGATACTCTCTTCTTAATCGGAGATTACTGAGAGAATTCAAAATGCAAAAGCATCTCATCCAATGTATCCCCATAACAATTAAGAACAACTAAGGCTATTATTCGGACACATGATCGTTCAACTAAGTTGGCTCTTAGAACAAACTAAAAAAGTATGTTATTCCAGTTGAAATGATACAACTTTTAGCAAGCTATTTTAGCTATTTGTCAAATGGAGAGTTCTTGATTAAAATCCAAAACCACTTTTTATCCATAAAGAAACCTAAAACAGGTGTCATTTAATATCTTCGTTTGATTAAGCAACAAAGAAGAATTTATTTGTTTATAGTTCATTTATTAGTTGCAATTGACATTTTACTATAAGGTGTGGAACATGGTTTGGGACACATTTTATTATTCATTGTTATATATCGTTGTTTTCCAAAGATTTTTGTTTTTGGATTGCAGAAAATGGTTACTAGTAAATAGAAATTCCTTCAAATGCATTGTCCTGAACACTGACCCGATGCACTATCGAAACTCTTTAAACCACTTTTGATTCATATTATAAGATGGTGTGTAGAATTTTCATTTTTCTCGTAAATCTATCTTTTTGTCTCGGAAATGGTATTTTTTTATAATCATTCTTATTTCATTTTGCAAATTCACCAAAACTTATTCGTATTGAACATTGTTAAAGCAAAAGACGATAACTTATTTGAGATACAATATAGATTCAAGGTTTTGAATAGTACCAGATTAATGGAATATCGCCAACTATACCGGTATAGTCGTATAATAAGTCATTTGCACTTTAAGGTGAAAAATAATGAAATATCTTTAATTTTTAATATAATACTATTAGTCAAAATTTCGTGTAATATATTTCTCTTACACTTTGTTGTTTCGAAAACCGCAAATACTTCAAAACAAAAAATTTACTATAACTAATAGTAAATAGTAATAGTATAACTAATTTACTATAAAAAAATAAGAGAGCGTTAAGT